GCTAGTCTGTAGTGAGAATGTGTGTGTCAGAGAGCTTGTCTGTAGTAAACCTGCATGGGTCAGAGCTTCTCTGTGTGTCAGATGAGCTTGTGTGTATTTGAGTCAATGAGCATGTCTGTAGTGTGCTTGAGTGTGTGTCATTGAGCTTGTCTGCAGTGAGCTTGTATTTGTGTCAGTAAACTTGTCTATAGTGAGCTTGTGTGTGTCAGTAAGTTTATCTGTAGTGAGCTTGGGTATAGGTAAGAGAGCTTGTGTGTGTCAGTGAGCTCGTCAGACCAACCACAACAGGCATCCCAGGGTGCTCGTTGTCACCTATCTGGTACCCGTGGTGTTGTACGTGGCTGGGGGGAAGAACATACCTTCAGTGAGATCACTGAGGACGAGGAACAGGACATGAGTAGCTCGGCATCCAACCTTGTGCAAATGGGGTCTTTCATGCTGTCATGCCTGTTGAGGGACCCTCGTATAAAAAGGCTGAAGGAGAACGACCTGTACTGAGTGTCCACGCTACTAGACCCCCGGTATAAGCAGAAAGTGCCTGAAATGTTACCGAATTACGGCAAGTCGAAAAAGGATGCAGCAGTTCCAAAATCTATTAAAAAGTATGCTTTACACAGTGTATAAGGGTGATGTCACAGCACAACGGAAATCTAACAGGGGAAGAGGTGAAAGTAATCCTCCTCCTCCTCCCACGACCACGACGGCAAGGACAGGACGCTTTACAGACGTGTTGTTGATGGAGGACATGCAGAGCTTTTTAAGTCCTACGCATCGCCACAGCTTTTGGGGTCCACCCTCAGAGAACGACTCGACCGACAGGTAGCAGACTACCTCGCCTTAACTGCAGATATCGAAACTCTGAGGAGCGATGAACCCCTTGACTACTGGGTGTGCAGGCTTGACCTGTGACCTGAGATATCCCAATTTGCGATAGAACTTCTGGCCTGCCCCGCTTCAAGTGTCCTGTCAGAAAGAACCTTCAGTGCAGCAGGAGGTATTGTCACTGAGAAGAGAAGTCGCCTAGGTAAAAAAAGTCTAGATTAGCTCACCTTTATTAAGATGAATGAGGAATGGATCCCGAAGGGACTGACAGTGGGCCATACATTCGACTAAAAAAGGCCTGATGAGGGGGGCGTAACAGGGTGTCGCGGCTGCCGGCCAGCCGCATGATATTTAAATCCCTAGCTCACCCCAGTACCTTGCCCTGTCGTGGTTTCCTGTTCCTGGTTTCCTGAGAGTGATTTATCATTGTGAATCTGATTTCCTGGTATCCTGATCTTGGCTTTTCCTTGGTTATTCTGAATTCTGGTTTCCCTGACTTGGCTTGTGTAAACGGTATTGTGTATTTTCTGGCTTCCTTGACCTCAGCTTTCCCTTTGACCATTCTCTGTCTCTAGCGTATTAGTCCAGCCATTCTAAGGTCCGGTTTATGCTCTGTTCTTTTATTTTCCTTTTCTTGCCTATGTATATGTTTAGTTTCTGCATGCTGGACCACACTAGTAGTCATGACATTGGGATTAAACTGATAAGAATAGTACTACTTAACACACCACTCCTATCTGGTGGCACATTAGATTACACGCGCAGTGCCCCAAATTTGAAGAAGGAGGACCAACCAAGCATCTTTTTCCATCTCCCAGTTCCTAAAACCGATGCCATATACACGTCCCCTGATAGGGGACGTAACAGGGATTAAACTGATAAGAATATTACTACTTCACACACCACTCCTATCTGGTGGCACATTAGATTGCACGCGCAGTGCCCCAAATTTGAAGTAGGAAGACCGACCAAGCATCTTTTTCCATCTCCTGGTTCCTAAAATCGATGCCATATACACGTCCAATGATAGGGGACGTAACAGGGATTAAACTGGTAGGAATAGTACTACTTAACACACCTTATAATAATGCAGAGAGAGGAAACGCAGAGAGAGGAGTCTGAAGAAGAGGAGTCAGAGGAGGAAGGTGGCTTTGAGGAGGTGGAAGACCAAACACAGCAGACATCCCAAGGGGCTTGTTGTCACCTTTTGGGGACCCTTGGTGTTGTACGTGGCTGGGTGGAGGAAGAGACCTTCAATGACATCAGTGAGGACAAGGAACGGGACATGGCTAGCTTGGTATCCAACCTTGTGCAAATGGGGAGTTTGCGGTTGTGCAAATGGACTGTTTGCGGTTGTTTGCGGTGCGTTAAACGGGGAGTTTGGTCTGTCACTGTGAAGCGGGCGTAACCCTTACACTACCTGATTGATACAACATCATACCTGATGTTTTAAAGCACGTTATTCCAAACAGTTTAGGAATGTTAGGTGATTTATGTCCTTTATGGATTAAAACCAGACTCTGCATCAACTATGTAATTTTCCATGGGAGTTTTGCCATGGATCCCCCTCCGGCATGCCACAGTCCAGGTGTTAGTCCCCTTGAAACAACTTTTCCATCACTATTGTGGCCAGAAAGAGTCCCTGTGGGTTTTAAAATTCGCCTGCCTATTGAAGTCTATGGCGGTTCGCCCGTTCGCGAACATTTGCAGAAGTTCGCGTTCGCGACATCACTAGAGAGGTGTTCGCAGTAAAAAGGGGGAAGTGCTCATGCCATTGTACAGAACACTGGTGAGACCTCACTTGGAGTATTGTATGCAGTACTGGAGACCGTATCTCCAGAAGGATATTGATACTTTAGAGAGAGTTCAGAGAAGGGCTACTAAACTGGTTCATGGATTGCGGGATAAAACTTACCAGGAAAGGTTAAAGGATCTTAACATGTATATCTTGGAGGAAAGACAAGACAGGAGGGATATGATAGAAACATATAAATACATAAAGGGAATCAACACAGTAAAGGAGGAGACTATATTTAAAAGACAAAAAGCTACCACAACAAGAGGACATAGTCTTAAATTAGAGGGGCAAAGGTTTAAAAATAATAACAGGAAGTATTACTTTACTGAGAGGGTAGTGGGCACATGATTAAACTCCTTCACTGTGTTAACCTCTACCACTCCAGCTAAAGTGGTAGAGGTTAACACAGTGAGGGAGTTAAAGCAAGCATGCATGGGAATAGCATAAAGCTATCCTAGCTATAAAATAAGCCAGGGACTAAGTTCTAAAGTATTTAGAAAATTGGGCAGACTAGATGGGCCAAATGGTTCTTATCTGCAGTCACATGTTTCTATGTTTCTGTAGTTATGGCATAATTTGCAAACACAATTAATTTGAAATAATGTTAATAATTTATTCATATTTGCAGGGAATAGTTGCATAGCCTGGCGGTCATGTATACATAAATGCCGGTGTGAAGGGATTACAAAAGTGAACATTTTTGTCGGGCAAAATAGCTTTAAAAAAATCTTTCAGCAAATAATAAAGTTACACATAAGAAAATAATGTCACAGACATTTCCCCCAAATATTCTTTAATCCTTTCACATTTGTATTATCTTAAAGGTTCTTTATATTCCCCATTTCTTTTACAGGCCTACTAAAACATCGGCTCTGGCACACCTCAACCGACTTTCACCACCATTACTATAACTCAGCTTATTGTATCTGACCACAAATATAATATATATATATACAAGTGTAGTGGCACTCACCCTTTCAATAGATGTGTAGAAAAATGCCTCGGTGCAATCCCACGCTGGATATGTACAACAATTGAAGAATAGCTGCACTCACAGGTCTTGTAAAAAATCACTATTATTTATTATCAAAACAACATAAATTCAATCGGATCGGATTTATGTTGTTTTGATAATAAATAATAGTGATTTTTTACAAGACCTGTGAGTGCATCTCTTCTTCAATTGTTGTGTGTGTATATATATATATATATATATATATATATATTATATTTGTGGTCAGATACAATAAGCTGAGTTATAGTAATGGTGGTGAAAGTTGGTTGAGGTGTGCCAGAGCCAATGTTTTTGTAGGCCTGTAAAAGAGTGCCTACCAAGATGAATGGCTTAATAAAGTGAGTGGGCGGTATGCTAAAGCAGGTGGTCTTGGCTCAGTGGAAGGGGAGGTCTGTGTATTTATAGCCTTCACATATATATTACCTTTGGCATGCCAACCACCCTCAGAACACAACAGCCATAGACATACACAATAATACAGCACACATACACACACTATTACAAACACACATATACACATTAATACACAAAGACATATACACACTCTGATACATGCATATACATACACACACAAACACAGTATTTGTCTGGCATTGTCTAACTGTGTATGTGCCTGAGAATGTGTGTCTGACAGAGAGTATCTTTGTATGTGAATGTATGTCTCTGTGAGCAAGTGTATGTTTGTATCTGGGACCTTCTCTTTGTTGGGTGTTATTGCTTATGTGTGTGGTGTATGGGGGTCTGCCTGTGGCATTTGTGCATTTTTGTTTGGCAAAGCTATGTTGCACATGACTGTGTGTTTATAATATTATAAATCTAGAATTCAGGTGAAAAAATATACAAATTCAAAATATTAATACACTTTAATCCAATCTTGTTTTTGTTAAAAAAACACACATACAAATAGTACCGCTGGTTTAATAACCTGAAAATAATATAACTATAAAAAATAGCCTGGGGGGCGGGGCCTGACTGTCATGGAGGGAAGACGTACCTTGCTGGAGCGCCTTACTAAGCATGGTAAATAAGGCATGTCCTGACCACAAACAACCCCAACAAGAGAGTTTAAGCGACTTACCAGCCCTCAGTCCTCACGGTTACCGGTGATGCGGCCCATGAACGGACAACAGTTAGCCAGACATACCCGCAGGAGCATGCGGCCTGGCGCGCGCCGGACAGGAGAGGCGGACGATCTCCCAGCCTGGAGCTACTCAGTGACCGACAGCCACAAGCGGGCACCCCGCAAATCCCCCCCCTTGGACCGGCGGGGGTGATCCCGGTCCCCACCCTGATAGCTCCCAAGCCCCATCGGGGAGCCGTGGCAGTGATGCAATATTCGAGGAGCAAGGTGGAACACTACCCAAGATGGCGGACGCCACATGCACCCAGACTCCGGAAAGGGAGATGTCTGCGACTTACCAACTCCTAGAAGCTATCTTCGAAGCCTTTTGGAGGAAGCTGGAGAGCAGGCTGACCCCTACTGATACCACCGAGGCTCCTCCTGAAACACCACCCTATACCCCAAGGCGACCTACAGCAAACATTAAGGGCCCAACATACCTGAGGTGGCGGAGACGGCCTAAACGGTGCACAGCGGAAAAATCATACTGCTGTCAAGCTCTAAGGCAGTACAACTCCAGCACCACGAAGAGGGAAACACGCAGGACCGGAGAGATGAGAGGGGAGCACCTACTGACTGAAGACCTGCAGCAGTTACCCTTTGTTGAAAGCCTGAGAAGCCAAGCAATTTGGGACGCTAATTTTCCTGTAACAGGGATAGGATGACAAGCAAGATGAGTCTCTAACCCCAAGTTATATCTAACTCAGTCTACTTTGTTCTCATTTTACCTCTTGTTTGCTCTACCTTTAATATATACTTGTGTTGCCCTTTACCCTTTTCCAACATGTCCCAGGGGATAATGCAACTTATCATACTGCCATTTCTATAGTGTGTTACTCATGTGCATAGGGTGCTGTCTGGGGTGGTATATTCTACTGTATTACTCATCAAAACATGTCTACAATCAGTGCCTATCGTTTATCAGCAATATAATCATCTAGCCATGTTTGTTTAATCTGTTTACTTCATATTCAAAAAATGTGCAGAATCATAGCATGCCTAGTCCAGATCTAACATTTTGTGTATTACGCTTGTTGCTGCTGTCGTGGCACGGCAAGTATATCTGTATTTTACTATGTGCACAATAAAACAAAGAATTATAAAAAATAAAAATAGCCTATGAATAGCAACAATATACTATAATGTCAACAATAGTAATACCAGATAGATTGGTTAGGAAATATTGTGAGAAAAGTAACTGTAAAATGCACAGATGGAACTACTAAACAGTGCAAATCAAGTCCAATAGCCCTTAACTAGTATAATACAGTTTACCATTGGATCAAACTGTTGACCCCAAATGAGAATCTATAAAGGTGATCAAAGAGTCCAAGAAATGGAGAGATGTATGTAGTCAATGAAAAAAATATAATAAGCTCTGTGGCAGAGCGAGGGGAGGTGAGTGTGGCATGATTTGGAGGCTTGTGTGTCAGGATTATGAGGGGCTAATGTGAGTGTGGCAGGGGGAAACGGGGTGTCAGTGTGTGGGAGGTTGACAGTGTGTGGGGGGTGACAGCGTGTGGAGATGACAGATTGTGGGAGGGTTAACCGTGTGTTGGGGTCTGACAGTGTGAGGGAGTGTCACAGTGTGTGGGGGTGACAGTGTGTGGACAGTCTTTGTTTCAGTGACCAGCTTCCTCACACTGAAATACCTTTTTATTTTTAATGCAGTAATTAATTCTCTTCTGGTCAGATGCTCTCCCTCCCATTCGGTCAGGCGGGCTAGCTATCTAGTCTGCAGCTCCACTGGGTGCAGAGATGCAGACCATGAGGTAAATGTCTCATGAGCTCAGGCACTTGAAGTGTCATAGCGTTCCCGTGATAACCCACATCGACCCTCTGATCACCCAGAGCTCTCTGACACCTTCTTCACGGTCTGTCACTCTGCATCTGGCAAAGCTGCAAACCGCAGGTGCTGGGATCTCTCTCCTCCAGGCAGATTGAGTGGAGGGGCCCTGCATGTAGTGGCATACAGGGCAAGCCGCTGGGCCCCCCTCTAGTGTTGGGCCCCCAGTCACTGACCAACGACCCAATGGATCAGTCTGGGTAATTTGCCAATGTGCATCCTGCCAAATTGATTCTGTTCTGAATTATTTTTAATATCAGTGCTTCATAAACCCTCTGAATCCTATATTTTGTATAGGGTTTGGATGCAAAAGCAATGATTTTAATCCAGACACCAAATGCATCTGGGCAATTGCTGCATATTTGCTCGACCCGACTGAATTCAGCTTTAGTAAATATATATATTTATGAGAATTGCAGTTCAGTCAATTTTACCAGATCTTTTCTGGTGTTTAGTTAAAAACCCTGATAATAGTTATATTATTTATATATTTTGCACTACATTGATTGGCCAAATTTTTTTTAAGTGCGCAAGTCTAATATGTGAAGCACTGTTGCACAAGAAGAGGATCAGAGCTAATGTGAGGACTCTGAGCAGACTCTTCCAGAGAAAGAATAAGGATTTAATTGATTTTATCCCTAATGGGGTTTAAAATCCCTAATGGGGGGCACAGTAATCTACACACTTTAAAGGAATACAATAGCGTTAGGAATACAAAGATATATTCCTATACTCTATAGTGCCCTGGTGGGTGTTTTGGTGATTGGCCCTACATGCACAGAGAAAAAGAAGGTATTTTTACTTACCTATTCTCCCTCGCAGTTAGGCCCACTTTGGCTGAGGTCATAGAGATTGAAAATCTCAGCGAATCCAAAGCTTTCCCAGAGGAACATATTGGGAGGCTAGTGCAGATATGCGGCAAAATGCAGCACTGTGCAAATCAGATGATCTCTCTGAGACCATGTGATAGAAATAGCATAGTTTTACTCTATAATTTCCTCAGAAACACTTTTTGTGGCTGTCTGATTAAAAGCCACTACAACCCTGGAATGATAACGTCATTTAGCAGAATGCAATGTGTTTAGCTGCAGTGTTAAAACACATATAAGGAATGTCCCTTTAAGGAATAATACAACTGAAAAAATGTATATATATTTTTTATAACCCCTTAACGACCACGGATGTACTAGGTATGACCGACAAAAAACGTTTGTTAAGGACTGAGGACATACTAGGTATGTCCGACATAAAAACTTTGTTAAGGACTGTGGACGTATTAGGTACGTCCGTGGTCCTTAACAAATGTTTTTTGTCTGACATACCTAGTAAGGACGCGGTCATTAAGGGGTTAATGGAGTGTTCCTTTATAAACAGAATTATTTTATTTAAATTATTTACGTTCCAATTCAATTAAAAGATATCGTAAGACAAATAGGAAACTATTTAGCTTAGGAACAAATTATATTATCTGTTGAAGATTGTGTGATTTTGAGGGATTTTCTATAGACCCCTATTTTGTATTCTTATGCATCAGGGAATAACAGTAATTAATTTTCTGGCTGAGGGAACCACCAGGAGATGACACTCAGGAACAAGACGAATATAGAGGCTATTAGGATAGACAGGTTCAATTATTTAGATCTGTATACCCCTTCTTTCCCCTGCATCAGGTAGGGCTGTGCAAACAAATTCCTACATAGCTGGGTCTCAGCAAGTCACCAGAAGCACCTCTGCCTAAATGAAATAATTCCACTCCACTTTGTTATTAGTTTGATGTTCCTGACATATTTGGTCCTTTAGAAGTTTTAATTTACTGTATTTTACAGCTTCATTAGTTGTACATTTGTTCCTGCTCTACATTTGTGTCTGTAATGTAAGGAATAACTTTAAGTGGCCACAAATATTTTCAAACTTTGATGCCGGTTCTGAAAAATGAATTAGATTGTAGAGAGATGCAAGTTCACCATTTGTGGGAAGACTGTATCACCTCAATCCTTGTCTGACATTAAAAGTCACTAAAAGCTTTGATTAAGGGTTCTGAAAAGCTCTTAGACTAGAACAAGCCACCATTACAGCAAATAACAGATACTGAGTTGTAGAATATATTCACTGATGCAAATGTTGTACAAAACATGTGCCTAAACATGTCAATGTACTTTGAGATCTTTGCCTACAGTCTTAGAAAAGTCAAAGTTTATTTTCCTTCACTCTCTTAGCTTCCATTTAAATAGGTTTAAGAAGAGAAAAGTGCCAGTGTGCAGTAGATATGTGCTGAGACACCTCAAATGTTATAAAGAGACTCAAAAATGTACATACAGTGATAATATAAAATTCCAAATAAGCATGAAATGATTTTTATCTGAGATGGACCAGAAAAGGATTTTAAAGAATTTTTTAATTTTATGAATAGTGATGTACCGAACGGTTCGCCGGCGAACGGTTCCTGGCGAACATAGCGTGTTCGCGTCCGCCGCGGACGGCGAACGCATGCGCGGTTCAATCCACCCCCTATTCGTCATCATTGAGTAAACTTTGACCCTGTACCTCACAGTCAGCAGACACATTCCAGCCAATTAGCAGCACACCCTCCCTAGCAGACCCTCCCACCTACTGGAAGGCATCCATTTTACATTCATTCTCAAGCTGCATGCTTAGTGAGAGGAGGGAAAGTGTAGCTGCTGTTGATTAGATAGGGAAAAGCATAGCTAGGTTAGGGTTAGGGTATGCTTTTTTTTTTTGTGTAATGTAATTGCAGTTAGTTGTCTGCCACTGCTGCCAGCTTCTGTGTCAGGCTCACAGTGGATACTGTACCCATTTCCCCAGTCAGTGCCACCACTCATATCTGGTGTCACAATAGCTTGCATTTAAAAACAAAAAACTTTTTTCACTGTTATAGATTGAATAGCAGTCAGTGTCCTTAAAGCGGGTGTGTCAGGCTCACAGTGGATACTGTCCCCAGTGCCACCACTCACTCACTGGTGTCACAATAGCTTGCATTTAAAAACAAAAAACTTTTTTCACTATTATAGATTGAATAG